TGCAAGACCAACGACTTGTTCATTGCAAACACCTTTTTTCAACAACACAAACGGAGGCTGTACACGTGGACTTCACCAGATGGAACACACAGGAATCAGACTGACTACATCTGTGGCAAGAGGCGGTGGAAAAGCTCAATATCTTCAGCCAAAACCAGGCTTCAGACAAACCAGACACAAAAGGACAAATATTACATGATTCTACTTCTGTGAAATACCTGGAATAGACAAATGTATAGAGACACAAAGTAGATTAGCAGTTGCAAAGGGAATGAGGAGTGATTGCTTAATGGGTATGGAGTTTCTGTACAGGTGGTGAAAAAGTTTTGGAAACAGTAGTGATAGTGGTACAACATTGTGAATATAATTAAAGGCACAGAGCAGAACACTTAAAAATACACTTAAAAATAGTGAAACTGGCAAATTTTATGTCGTATATATTCTACCACTGTTTTAAAAAATCTGGATCTGAGAGCAGTGATGAGATAAATGAGTTGGGTTGACTTGTTGTTGTTATGTGCCATTGAGTTGGCCCCTACTCATAGCGACCCCTCCTTGGGTTACTGAGGCAGCATCACTACGGAAGTAGATTGCCCCGTCTTCCTTCCAAGGAGTGGCTGGTGGGTTTGAACCGCCAGCTTTCTGGTTAGCAGTCAAGTGCCTTAGGCACTATGCTACCAAAGTTCCTACATTAGAGTCTGGAATAAAGAAAACAAAAATTATCATTTGCCATGCTGCTCCTTATCCTCTTCTCTCCTCTCCCTTAAAAACCCTTTTAAAACAGGTACATTCAGTATAACCACCCATGTGTGTCCCAGAGCAACTCTGTGCCAGCTGGTCACTGTTTAAGGTCAGCTCACATTTTGGGCTGTGGAGCTTGGGCCCTCAGTAGCCTTTGCCTAGGCTGCTGCTTCACAGAGTCCATTGGTTAATTAACATAGGCTAATCCCCATAGTTGAACGTAAAATTTGGACATATGCTCCCTTTGGGAAGATAAGGCTGTGCCTAAGACATGAGGTGCTGTGCTAGATGTGAACTGTGGCTGTCTCCTTCTGTTGCAGGTGAATTTAGAAGGCAGAATCAGTCCTCTGTCACTCCTACAGATGGCCTCTCCAAGTGGCCTCTGTGTCTTGGTTCGCTTGCCCATGCTGATCCGGGGAGGAAAAACACTACCAAGAACATTACTGGACATCTTGGCAGATGGCACCATTTTAAAAGTTGGAGTGGGATGTTCAGAAGATGCCAGCAAGCTCCTACAGGATTATGGCCTCATTGTTAAGGGATGTCTGGACCTCCGATACCTAGCCATGAGACAGAGGTACGGTGTGTGCATGTGTACATGCCGGGATATCTGTAGCCGTGGGGCAGATGTTTTACCAAGATTTGTAGATTGCTGGGAATCATTGATGTAACTTCTGAGTGATTTGGATGCCTAGGGGTTTCTGAGATGCATGTTGACTTTCTGAGGAAATATCCCAACTTCTGAGAAAACTTTAGTTATCTAGAACTCATCTTTTTATGTGGAACATTAATGAGATATCTCTGTAGGCTACAGGTTATAAACAGGTTGCACTGCGGCTACAGATGGGTTTGTTGGCTTATATGATGTATCTTGGGAGATTTTCTTTTAAATCCAGTATATTTAATATAAAATTTGTATTTCTATTTTCTCTTGAAAAATTAGATGATCTAACTATATTGGGTGCATAGTCCTAGAAGACAATTGGCTGGTGTACAGGTCCTTGTTTATGATCACATGGACCAAAATAGTCTCTCCTCATGCCCCAAATGGCACTGACATTAAAAGGTTGGAGGCAGTATTTGATAAACTAAGAGAAGGCTTGATGAAAGTGGTACTTAGAATTTTTTTAGTATAAAGTGAAATTTTCATTTGTTAGGTTGGTTTGTATGTAAATAAAATGTTTAGACATGAAGTATGATTTTTTTCAAGTAGTACATTAAAATATTGCTGTAAAAATGAAAACACCCTGAAAGTATTTGGAGTATAAAAACAAAAGCCTCCTTTGATCAGGCCCTTTGGCACTGCCTCCCCAGAGGTGATTCTTTTATTTTTGCTGTTGGGAGCAGTATGCATAGTGGCTGAGAGTCAACTCTGGAGCAGATTGCTTAGGTGGGAGTCCCAGTGCTGCCACTTGCCAGCTGTGTGACACTGGGCAAGTTACTGAACCTAGCTGTTCCTCTGTTTTCTCGTCTGTAAAGTAGAGGTAATAATGTTTCCATTTCATGGAATTAGTATAAGGATTAAATGAGTTAAAATATGTGAAGAATTTAGAAACAGTGTTTGCCATATAGAAAGTGCTCTGTAAGTTTTAATTATTGATAAACATCAATGGTTATGGATATGATAACCATGCTCATCCCTGCCATCATCATCATCATCATCATCATTAATACCACCTTCAACACCACCATCATCTGATTGGTTTGTCCTTCCAGATTTTTTTCTATGCATTTATCGGCACCTCTATGAATACGTAAAAATTAAAGGGCACAATGAAGTTGACATTTTATTAAAATCTAGAAAATTATTCTTATTTTGTTATTAAACAAAATAGTAGTAATTGTTATTAAACAAATTTAGTAGTAAAATTCAAATTTTTTACATTATAGTGTATCATGGATTGAATTGTGTTCTCCTCACCCAAAATTTGTGTCAACTTGGCTGAGCCATGATTCTCAGTGGTTTAGATGTTAGGTAATGATGTAATGTGGCAGATATATAATGATACCCTGTGTTAGACTGTGTTCTCTAGAGAAACAAAAACCAGCAAAGCTTATATGTGTATATATATATATAAATATATATATACAGAGAGAGAGAGAGAGAAATTTAATTTAGGAAAATGGCTCACAAATGTATAGAAGCCAGAAAGTCTGAAGTCCCTGGAGGAAACATCGGGCTGGAGGCAGCCTTAGCTTCTGCAACCACAGGGGACAGAGAAGCTCAAGGCTGTCAGGCAGTACACTGGCTGTTGACTCCAACGAAAGACAAATCCAAGATCTCCAGGCCAAGCGGTGGGCTGCTCACTCACGGAAAGTTGTAGGCAGCACACCAGAGTCCCGATCCACAGAAGAATGTCTCTCTTCCTAGGATGTCCCTGGATATCCTGGAAGCAGGCCACACCCCTAGGGAAACTCCTCTTGGGCAAATTGGCCACTCAGAACACAGAATCAATACATCTTGATTGCATATATAGTATGAGAGTTGTTCCAATCTTGGGAACAACTACACAGAACTGGGGTCCAGCCAAGTTGACACACAGCTCCAACTATCACAAACCCCATGAGGTGACCTGATATGATAAGCTGATCAAGTGTAAAAGGATTATGATTAAAGGTGGATTGCAACCCCCTTAGTCCCATCACAGCCCTGATCCATATAAGGGGAGCTTCCCTGGGGTGTGGCCTGCAACACCTTTTATCTTACAAAAGATAAAAGGAGAGAGAAGGGAGCAGGGAAGGGGCATCTACTACCACCAGAAAAGAGTAGCCAGGAGAGGAGTGCGTCCATTGGACCCAGGACCCCTGTGCTGGGGTCTTCCTAGGAACAAGAGACACAGACAGAGGAAGTCTTCCTTAGACCTAGCACTCTGAACTCAAACTTCTAGCCTCCTACACTGTAAGAGAATAAATTTGTGCTTGTTAAAGCCATCCACTTAACTGTATTTCTATCATAGCAGCACTAGATGACTAAGACGTAGTGCAAGCAGTCCGGCATATTGTGTGAGAAACTTAGCACTGTTAACTGCTAGATATTTACCATGATGAGTAGTTGTTATTTTCAACTTTGAGGAAGAGCAAAATATTTTTTGGTAATGCATCTTCTTTCATATTTTTTATTATCTGTTAGTCAAACATTATTATAAAGATCGTTATGCATGAATTTGGGATTTTTCCTAGTGAAACTTTGAAGTGGCACAGCTGGCATTTTGTTTTAATTCATCCTCAAGAGATGTGAAACCTCCCAAATATGACATTGAAAATAAAAAGACTAATGACCTCAATGGAATTAAATAACTAAAAATTAAGTATCATTCTTCTGTGGGGGAAGTGATTTGAAGAATTATAGTATATCGAGGCTCAGAAAACTACACAGCTGTTACAAAGCATGAAATGAGTGCATTGGTATTTACTGTCATGAAAGGAGGTCCATAATACGTTACATGAATAAAGCAAGCTGCTGGACAACAAAATACCGAAAAATTATATCCACCCCTCCATCGACCCATCTGTTTGTTTATTTATGCATAGAAAAAGTCTGGAAGGGCTACAGCACACTATTAAGAGTCCTTAATCCCAAGGAACAGAAACATGGCAAAGAACTTGCACTTTTCATCTATTATGCCTCCCTATTGTTTAAAATGCTAATAGTGTATTCATTATTTTTCTAATTTGTAATAAAACAACAAAAATTTTAAGTCTTCCACAAATCCTTAATTTCCATTCATATAGACAATCCTACTTCCGTAGTGATACTGCCTCGGAAACCCAAGGAGGGGTCGCTATGAGTCGGGTTTGACTCGACGGCACATAACAACAACAACAACAGGACCATAACTATTTTAGAGCCCTGGTGGCACAGTGGTTAAGCATTCGGCTGTTAACTGAAAGGTCTGTGGTTTGAACCCACTGGCCGACCTGGGGGAGAAAGATGGTAGATTGTTCCCATAAAGACTACTTACAACCTTGGACAGTTCTACCCTGTCTTATGGGGTCAGTTTGAGTTGCAGTTAACTCAATGGCAACAGGTTACAATATTTTACCTAAGTTGTCTGAACTTTTTGTACTTTTTAGGCTGTGTTGCCTTTTGGAGGTACTGCCTGCTTTGAAAGAAAAGACTTCCTTTTCTTCATCATTGTAATGATTTCATTCTCTACAGTAAATAAGAGAATACTGCATATTATAACACTGATGGGAACCTCCATCTCCTAAAACTGCTAGTCTCTCACTTGGTAACCGAGAAGTCAGCATTGCTTTTGAAGACTGATACGTTCTGGTTTTATTATATTTTTTACTTTCTTTCTACTTTACCCACATACCATTGCCATTGAGTCAATTCTGACTCACAGCCACCCTATAGGACAGAGTAGAATGGCCCTACAGGGTTTCCAAGGCTGTAAATCTCTACAGAAGGAGACTTCAATATCTTTCTGCTATGGAGTGGCTGGTGGGTTCAAAGTGCCAACTTTTTGGTTATCATCTCAGTGTTTTAGCATCTTTTTTTTACTTTTTGAACAAAACCAAAAAACCTAAGTCACTGCTGTCATGTCAGATCCGACCCCTCCTTGGTTTCCGAGACAGCATCACTACGGAAGTAGAGTGTCCAATCTTCCTTTGAAAGAGTGGCTGGTGGGTTTAAACCTCTAGCCTTCTAGTTAGCAGTCAGATGGCTTAGGCACTATGCCACCAGAGCTCCCTTTTTAAAAATGCTTATTTTGTTGTTGTTGAGAATATACATAGCAAAACATACACCAGTTCAATAGTTTGTACATGTATAGTTTAATAACATTGATTCCATTCTTTGAGTTGGGCAATCTGCCCTCCTTTCCTGAGTTGTTCCTTTCCCATTAACATAAACTCATTGCTCCCTAAGGTTCCCATCTAATTTTTTGACTTGCTCTTATCAATTTGACTCTATATAAGTAGCTTTTAAAAGAGCATAGTGCACAAGGAACACCTTTTTTGCTAGTTAAGCTAAACTATTGTTGGGTTTTAAGATGACTTTAGCGGTAATTTTTAAAGAGTGGCTGGTGGTGTCGTGGGTAAGGTTGCTAACCAAAAGGTTGGTGGTTTGAACCTACCAACCACTCCCTGGAAGAAAGGTGAGGCAGTCTGGTTCCGTAAAGAGAAACCCAATGGGGGTCACTATGAATTGGAATTGACTCAATGGCAGTAAGGATATAGTTTTGGTTGAAGGTTTAATTATTATATCTGGGCATTAGTTTCAAGGGTTCATCTAGACTCCATGGCTCCAGAAATCTGGAGTCTATGAGAATTTGAAATTCTCTTCTATATTTTCCCCCTTTTGATAGGATTGTTCTATAGAATCTTTGACCAAAATGTTCAATAATGGTACCTGGGCATCATCCAGTCCTTCTAGTCTCATGGCAAAGGAGGTACTTCTTCATGGAGGCAATAAGCCACATATCCCATGTCCTCCTCCTATTCCTAACTCTCCTTCCTCTGTTGCTCCAAGTAAATAGAGACCAATTGTGCCTTGGATGGCAACTTGTGAACTTTTAAAACCCCAGACACTATGCAACAGAAGCACTAAAGATGTTATTAGGCCGATTAACT